TTTTTTTTTTTTTTGCAGTTTTTTTGGCCGAGGCTGGGTTTGAACCCGCCACCCCCGGCATATGGGGCAGGTGCCTTACTCGTTTGAGCCACAGGCACCGCCCTAGAGTCATGTGAATTCTTATTTCCCTATAGTTAATATGTCATTTTTCCCTGACTGCTTTTAATATTTTTTCCACTCTTTAATTTTCAGAAGTTCGAATATGATGCATCTGAGTATGGATTTCTTTTGATTATTTCTGTTCTGGTTTTAAGAAGCTTTTTGAATTTTTAAATTTCTATCTTTCACCAAATTTAAAACTCTTCAGCAATTATTTCTCAAAATTATATTCCAACATTGTCTTCTTTTCTCCTCTCCCAAAACTATGACACAAATGCTAGACATTTTATATTGTTACACATGTCCTTCAAGTGGTGTTCACCTTTTTTCCAGTCTTTTCTCACTCTCCTGATCAAATTGGGTAATTTCTATTAATCTGTCTTCCAGTTCACTTACCTTCTTCTGTTATCTCCATACTGCTATTGTGCCATCAAATGAGTTTTGCTTTCTTTTTAATGCACAATTTGATGTGCTCCCCACTCTTGATTTACCTTTATTTTCTTTTGAAACATATAATGTACTTAACATACCAGATATTCAGCAATGTACAGTGTACAAATTCAATGGCGTTTAGCATATTCAGAGTTGTGCAGGCACTACCATAATTAATTTTACAGCATTTCATCATCCCCAAAAGAAATCCCATGCCCTTTAGCTGAGACTCCCCAATCTCCATTCTGTACTAGCTTTCGTAAATACATTAATTTACTTTTTGGGTTTTCCTATTATAGACTATTTTGTATAAATGAAATCAATATGTAATATTTATGACTGGCTTTTTTCATGGTTCATCCATGTTGTAGCACGTATCAGTACTTTATTTCTTTTATTTGTCAAATAATATTCCATTGTATAGAATATTATATTCATTTGGTATGTATATCCATCATCAGTTGATGGATGTCTGGGTTATTTCCACCTTTTGGCTATTATAAATAATATATGTAGTACCCTGAACATTTGCAAGAGTTGCAAATTTATGTTTTTATGTTTTCATTTCTCTTGGGTATATACCTAGGGCTGGAGTAAATAGGTCATATGCTAAACATAGGTCTATGTTTAATTTTTGAGGGACTGCCAGACTATTATCCTAAGTGACTATACCTCTTAAATCCCTTCAGCATTGTTTGAAGGCTAGAATTTCTCTGCATCCTCACCAATTGTTATCATCTGTCTTTTTTATAATTGCCACATCAGTGGTATTTCATTGTGATTTCAATTTGCATTTCCTTGATCACTAGTGATTTACTGTTATATATGTTTATAATAATCATTTTAGATTATAGTAAAATTTTATGAAACATCTAACATATTTTTGTACCTCAAATACCCATTTGATGCTAATATTTAAGAAACAGTGTTTTGAAATTTACAATATTTGCAAAGGCTTTTGTCCATGTAAAGTAATATCCTACCTCTCAAATAAAAGGGATCATCAGATATTTTTATTTAAGTGTACATAATTTTTTCTCTCTGTAATTTGAGGCTTTTATTCAGAAACTGATTTTGAGAATTATATTCTGAATGACTATGGGTCTCGAAAAGTGCTGGCTGCCATTGTTTTTGATTATGACTTCAAAAACTTCAATGACCCTCTGCCACTTCAGGTAAGAAAACTTTAGAGTTTTTCAAATAAATAGTTTTCTTATAATTGTACTTCCAGTTACTAGAATTTTAATGAATTAATTATTATTCCTATCTTATAAGTGAAGAAGATAATTTTCCCAAGATCGTACTCCTAGAGTACAATAGAGCAAGAATATGAATCCAGATATGAGTAGTTGCAATACCTGTGCTCTTAACCATTATCTTATGCTTATGGGGAAGAGCTCTATCTTGTACATGCAAGGCCTAAAATTCTGTGAAATTTTGACTACTCAAAGCAGTACTTCTAGTCCTACAAAGGACGATAAAACAAGCTTCAACAGGTACCTCTTTAATAATAGGCAACGAGGCATGAAAAATCCTCTTTTTTTGAATAAAAGACAGAATCTAAGGCTCAGCCACATTGATTCACAGTTAGGACATTAGGACTGAGAAAGAATCTGATTATAGCCCATGAGAAGGAAAGAAGAGGACTGTGCTTTGAACTTTTTGTCTCTCTAGTAGAGTTTATAGGCATCCTATCCTGATATGACAGAAATAAATGGCCAATCTATAATAGCTGGAATCAAATCCTATGTTTAGGACACGGATCCTTGTCAGTAGAAGGGAAGCTTAAGGAAAACCATTAGTAGTATAATGTGCCTTCTTTCTGTTTGCTCCATTCTTCCATGATTTCTTTATTCTCTACCAACTTCCATCCATTTACTAACCCAAAATTACCCATATCCTATATAGATTTGAGTATATATGTGTGTTCAACAATATAAAGAAGCTCAACATGCCTTTAGCACCATTTTAAGCTTCATTTTCACTACTAATAGACTGTGTTTACTCTCCAAATATTTAAGAATATTTGGAGAATAAACATAGTTTCCCAGATTATTATCCCAGGTATTTGATCTATTTTGATTATTTTGTGAACAAACATTCACAATCTCTGTTGTTGACTTTGCGGGGGGTTGTTTGTTTATTTGTTCTGGGGGGGCACAGAGTCTTGCTCTATCACCCTGGGGTTAAGTGCTATGGCATCATAGTTCACAGCAACCTCAAACTCCTGGGCTCAAGCAATCCTTTTGCCTCAGACTCCTGAGTAGCTGGGGGTACAGACACCCACCACAACACCTGGCTAGTTTTTCTATTTCTAGTAGAGATGGGGTCTTGCTCTTGCACAGGCTCGTCTCAAACTTCTAAGTGCAAGCAGTCTGCTGGCCTTGGCCTCCTAGAGTGCTCAGATTATAGGAGTGAGCCAGCACGCGTGGCCAACTTTGTGTTTAACTTAGATCTGATATCTATACTTTTTCTCTTTCATAGCTGACTTTTTTGGCAGGATCTTTTGGTTTCTCATTGCCTCAGGCTCATTCCAGAGTGCTTTGCATATGGCTCTCAGTACCTGAATCCATCTCCAGTCACAATTTTGTGACACCTTACATACTTTAGGCTGTAGTCATACTTAATTTTTAAAAGTTCTCTGCATGTGCCATTTTATCTTTGGCTTTGGGCCTTTGGGCACACCATTTTCTCTCATGTAGGACTATACCTTGTGAGCTCCCATTCAACTCTCATATCTATCCCTTCCTTTTCTGTTCTTTCATAATAATCTGTGCATATTACTGCTAGTCAAACCCTGTATGGGAGCATGGTTATTACTCCAGGTATTTCAACAGAGGGACCTTAATACAAGAAAATTTTTAGACATTCACATTCTAGATTCTAGTCAGTCTTCACAATTCAGAGTATCTAACCTTTTGACTTCTCTGCATCACACTGAAACAAGAAGAATTGTCTTGGGCCACACATTAAGTGCACAAACACTAATTAAAACTGATGAAAAACAACAAAAAAGGTCCATGAATAATTTTCATGACACCACAGATAAAATAGTCCTCATATAATTTGCATGTATCCTATGGGTTGTACACCCCTACTAGAGGGTCTAGATTGCTTTCCTAGTGAGGTAAACCACCTTTCTTGAGCACTTAGTTATGAGGTCATGGTTATCACAACACGTATTCATTGTTACCTACAGAAAAGTAAGCCCCAAAAGATACCCTAGTGAAATCCCTATTGTATACATACCCAGCACTTGTTTTCATTCATAACAACAGCCCTAGTTCTTCATTTTAATTTCTCTCTCTCATATAGTAACTCCTTTCCTTTTGGTGCATCAGCATAAATAGCTTAATCTGACTAGGTGGTAATAAAGTTATAGTCTAAGAAATATCAAATGTTGGTGAAGATGTGAAACTTTCAGAATTCCCACACATTGTTTTTGGGAATATAAAATGGTAATATCAAGTTATGAAAATGCCTACTATTTGTTTTTTCAGGTCAAACTAAACATAAATTTACCTTATGATTCATAAGTTGTACACCTGGGAATTTATTACAAAGGAGAAAAGTGTATTTTCACAAAAAGAATTGTGCAAGAGTGTTCATAGCAGCTTTATCCACAGTAGCTAAGAACTGGAAACAGCCAGATATCTACAAACCAGAAAATAAAATAAATGAGTTCTGATATATTCATGTCATGGAATATTGCTGAGAAGAAGGAAAGAATTAATAGCTGAAAAGGGCAATTACATAAAGGAATCTTAAAAACACCATGCTGGGCTCAGCTCCCATAGCACAGTGGTTACGGCACCAGCCATGTACACCGAGACTAACAGGTTCAAACCCAGCCTAGGCCAGCTAAGCAACAATGACAACTACAACCAAAAAAAGCCAGGCATTGTGGTGGGCACCTGTAGTCTCAGCTACTTGGGAGGCTGAGGCAAGAGAATCACTTAAGCCCAAGAGTTGGAGGTTGCTGTGAGCTGTGATGCCACAGCACTCTACCGAGGGCAACATAATGAGACTCTGTCTCAAAAAAAAAAACAAAAAACAAAAAACACCATGTTGCATAATAGAATCCTTATACCAAAGAGTATTATTCCATTTATATAGACTTCTGTCATAGGCAAAATTATGGTGAATTCTGTTATGAGATGTGGTAGAGATTCACTGGGAAAGAGCAGGAGAGAACTTTCTGGGGTATGGGTAATGTTGATATGGGTTTGGGGTTACAATAAATTTGCATTGTCACTTGTTAAAATTCAGCAAATATATAGCTAAGATTTGAATATTTTGTTGTCTAAATTTACCTCAAATAAGTACTATAAACAAATATTGACTTCTACTTAATCTTTATTTATTTGGTGGAAATATACTGATGTCTACAGCTTTCTTTTCAGTGCATGCTAAAATTAAATGTATTGATTGAATTTATATATAAAACCTCATTTGGCCTTTTTTTATGCAAAAGGTAGCATGTTTGTCAGTCATTAAGTTTCTTTGTTTCTGAACTCTGAATCTATACTTCTATACTCTGCCCTTTGATAAGGTAGCTGCATTTCTGTTTTTCCAGTTAGTTTTATGTGAGATCAGGGGGCCAACTGGCAAACTGTAAAGCTTAAGGAGGACAAGCGACTTGAAGCTTTCCTGTTGGTTTTCTATGTGCTTATAATCCCTGTGAATAATATCCTAGCACCACTACTTTATTTTGGCAAGTAGCACTTTCTTGCCATAGCAGAAGCCAAATACAGTTTACAGATCACAAAATCAATTTACACCTCTCACAGACAGCAGCTCCTACTCAAAGGTCTGGATCCCAGTCTAAAAGACAGAGACAGAACCCTCCTTCAAGGTCAGAGACAAAACCCTCACTCATTTATGCCCCCTCCCCAAAGGTATGAGTTTCAGCCCCATGGGGTCTTTCCTCTAAGTTTATTGAATCCCACAAAGGCATATATGTATTCATGATCTATGTATATATGACTTAATAAAAAAATAAGAAGAGTACCTAAAAAAAATAATAAAAATAAAAATTTTGACATCTTGCTTTTTGTTTCCTTAGTCTTGGGTCTGATGAATGTTTTCTCCTATTGTGCCTATATAATACCTTAGAATTCTCTTATTCTTTCATTTACTGGGTAGAGTTCCTGTTTTTTGGCTATACCTTGCAAATGCAAAGCACCCTATTGTGTAGAGAGAGGTACCATAGTTTGGAATTCTCCTTTTTATGAGTAATTAAGGTAATTCCAATATATTTCCACTATGGATAATATTACAGCAAACAAATTTGGTCATTTGTTTCATGTTATAGGAGGTACATATTCCAAATCTGTTATTAGAAGTAGGATTGCTGACTGAAACAATAAATATATGCTCTGGTTTGAATGTTTGTCCCCTCCAAAGCTCATGTTGAAATTTAATTGCCTTTGTAATAGCAGTTAAGAGGTGGAACCTTAAGGAGATGATTGGGCCAAGAAGGTCATGTCCTCTTTGGTAGGATTAATGCCCTTATAAAATTTACTCTGCCTTACACCAAGCAATGACAATATTCCTCCCCTCCAGAAAACTCAGCATTCAAAACACTGTCTTGGAATCAAAATTGCCAAACAACCAGTACTTTGATATTGGACTTTCCAGACTCCAAAACAGTTAGAAAACAAATTTCCATTGATTACAAAGTAATTAGTCTCAGGTATTCTGTTACAGCAAAACAGACTACAGCAGTGCATGAGTGGTTTTGTTAGACAGCATCTGATTCTTGGTCGGAGCTGTGGCATTTTGCATACCACAAGGAATATGTGTAAGTGCCTGTGTGTTTCTTAAGAGAGTATGTTTGTCAGGCTTTTGATTTTGCCATTATGATAGGTAATAAAACTATCTCTATAGTTTTAATTGGCATTTATTTCTTTATATAGTGTTGAGAATCTTTTTATTTATTTATGGGCTATGTATCTTTTTGTATGCTTTGTCTGCATTTTTGAATGAAATACAAAAGTGGATATGATTAGACATATGTTCTACCTCAGAATCATTGTCATTTCGAGGTATTCCGAATTACTGGGTCACATGGTTTTCTATCTGAACCATTTACGATTTATTTCATTTCTAATATTTGCTTTTCAATTTGTTTGGTTTTAAACATAGCTTGTTTCCTATTGTGACTTCTAGGTAAAGTATCATCTGCGTTTTGTTAAGGTTCAGAGGTGGTCAGAAGGATCAGGCTGGGAAACAGCCTCTCTCTTTCCTAATCAACCTACTGGTGGACCCAGGAACCCACAACATCAAGATGGAGGAAGTCCTGGTAAGCAGATCTTTAAGCATACATATTGTATTATCATAATGACATACTAGGATACACACCCATGTACATTTATTTGTGGTAATCCTAGGAGGTGGAGTTCTTTTGTAAGTACAGGGTTTTTTAGAATACAGTTATTCCCATTTGTTTTACTTTTATTTTTTAATCATTTTATTTCAAAATATTAAGGGGGTATGAATTTTTTGTTTATATGGATAGCTTTTATAATGTTTTAGTCAAGGCTATACATATGCCCATAAGCTGAATAGTGTTCACTGTACATGATAGATATGTTTTTAACCCTCTACTCCTCCCCTCTCTGCACTTCTGGATTTCCAAAAATTTTTTACTTCCTTCTGTTCCTATGTGTGCCCATTGAATAGTTCTGAATTATTAGAGAGTACATGTGGTGTTGGTTTTCCATTCTTCAGATACTTTACTTAGGATAATGGTCCCAAATTTTTGCAAGAGACATTAATTTATTCCTTCTCATGGATGAGTAGTACTACATGGGGGTTTTGTGTGGGTGTATGGGTATGCATGTGTGTATCACCTTTTGTTAATCCACTCATGAATTGCTGGGCACTTGGGTTGATTATGTATCTTTGCAATTGTGGATTGTGCTGTGGTAAACATTTGATGTTTACCACAGGTGCAGGTATCTTTTGATAAAATGACTTCTTTACCTTTAGGTAGATACTTAATGGTAGGGTTGGTGTATCAAATGGTAGAGTCTGCTTTTAGTTCTTTGAGAAATCTCCATGCTCATTTCCATAGAGGTCGTACTAATTTGCAGTCCCCTAAACACTATATAAGTGTCCCTTTCTCTCTACATCCATACAAGCATCTCTTTTTTTATCATTTTTTTGCACTTTTTAATAAAAGCCATTCTACAGGGGTAAGATGATATCTCATTGTGGTTTCTTTTTCTGATTCGGATTTATTTTTTAAATTTTTTAAAGTTAATAAAATCATAACTTTATACATTTATGGGATACAATGTGATGATTTGATATACAATGTGGAAGGCTTAAATCAAACTGATTAACAGACATCACCTCACTTACTTCATTGTGATTTTAATATGCATTTCTTTGATGATTAGTGAGGTAGAACATTTTTACATATGTTTATTAGTCATTTTTCTGTCTTCTTTTGAAAAACAGCTGTTCATGTCTTTTGTCTACTTTTTAGTGGTGTATTTTCTTGCTGATTTGTTTGAGTTCTTTGTAGATTCTGGATATTAGTCCATTATTGGCTGTATGGTTTATGAATATTGTCTTCTATTCTGTAGATTGTCTATTTGTTCTGTTGATTATTTCCTTTGCTGTGCAGAAGCTTTTAGATTTAATCAAATTTCATTTATATTTGTTGTGGCTATAATTGCCTTTGGGGTCTTAGTCAAAAATTCTTTGCCTAAACCAATATCTAGAGGAGATTCTCCTACATTTTCATCTAGAATTCTTATGGATTCATGCATTACATTTAAGTCTTTCATCCACCTTGAATTAATTTTTGTAACTAGTGAAAAATGAGAGTACTGTTTCATTTTTCTACATGGGGCTATTCAGTTTTGCCAGCATTTATTCAATAGGGCTTTTTTTCCCCCAACGTAGGTTGTTTCCTGCTTTGTTGAAGAAGATATAGATAGAAGATTTTATATCTGAGTTCTCTGTTCTGTTTCATTGTAATGTGTCTCTATTTTTGTGCCAATACCACACTGTTTTAGTTACTCTCATCTTACAGTATAATTTGAAGTTTTATAATGTGTTGCCCCCAGATTTGTGTTTTTTCCATAAGATTAGTGTGCCTATTTGGTCTCTTTTCTGGTTCCAAACGAAGCATAGAATTATTTTTTCTAGATCTTTGAAATACGATATTGGGATTTTTATGGGGACTGTAGACCACTTTGAGCAATATTGACATTTTAACAATGTCCTAATATTTTATTTTCTTGTAGCTATTGTGAATGTAGCAGTTGTAGCTATTGAGTCTTTGACTCTCAGCTTGACTGTTATTGGTGTATAAAAATGCTACTGACTTATGGAAATTGATTTTATAACCTGAGACTGCAGAATTTATTTATCAATTCCAGGAGTCACTTGGTGGAATCTTTGGGATTTTCTAGATACAAGATAATATTAGCAGTGAAAAAATGAAAATTGGAGCTCCTCTTTCCTGATTTAGATACCCTTTATTTCTTTCTCTTGCCTGATTACTGTGGCCAGGAGTTCCAGTACTATGATGAATACAAGTGGTAACAGTGGGCACTCCTGTCTTGTTCCAGTTCTTAAAAGGAATGCTATCAAGATAACGTGGAATAATTTCTGCAGTATGGGCATTGGCTTTTCTTTGTAGGTCTGGCAGAATTTTGCTGTAAATTCGTCTTGTCTGGGGCTTTTTGTTGTTGTTTTGGATTTTTTATTATTATTACTGCTTTGATCTAGCTCCTCCTTGTTGGTCTCTTCAGGAGTTCTATTTCTTCCCCAGTTTGGATGTTGGTGTATTTCCAAGAATTTCTCCATTTTTTCTGTTTTCCAATTTATGTGCATAGACATTTTTCAAAATATTCACACATGATATTTTGTATTTCTATGGTTCAGTTGTAATATCTCCTTTTTCATTTTTGATTGAGCTTATTTGGGTCCTTTCTCTTCTATTCCTGGTTAATCTAGCAAGATATCTATCTATCGGTTTTGTTTATCTTTTCAAAGAATCAATTCTCTGTTTTTTTGGTCCTGGGCATTGTTATTTTGTTTCCATTTCATTTAGTTCCACTCTGACCTTCATTATTTGTTTTATTCTGCTGGCTTTGGATTCGGTTTTTCTTCATTTTCTAGTTCCTTCATATGTGCCAATGGGTAGTTAATTTGTGATCTTTTTGATAGAGGCATTTGAGGCTATGACTTTCCCCCTTACAACTTTTTTTGCTGAATCCCATATATTTTAATAGCTTATGTACCCTTTGTCATTCAGTTTGAGGAATTTTTCAATTTCCTTCTTAATTTTATTCTTGACCAAATAATCATTCAGCAGCAGGTTGTTTAATTTCCATGACTTTGTGTAAAATTGAGTATTTCTGTTGGAGTTGATTTCCTGTTTACTGCTGTCTGAAATCATACCTGGTTTATTTTGAGTTTTTTGAATTTTTTGAGATTTTCTTGTGGTCTAAAATATAATTAATCTTGGAGAATATCTCATGTGATGATAAAAAGATATATATAAAGTTTGGGGGGATAGAACATTCCATGTTTTGGGCCCAGTTGTTCGAGTGCCATTTAAGTTCAGTCTTTATTTATTTTCTCCTTTGATGACTTGTCCAGCTCTGTCAGTGGGGTGATGAAGTCCCAGAAATTATGATGCTGCTGTTTATCTCTGTGCTTAGACCTAGTAGAATTCCCTGTATGAATCTGGAAGCTCCTGTTACAGATGCATATATATTTTCCATTGTTATGTCTTCTTGTTTAGTTGCTACTTTTATTAGTATATAATGACTGTCTTTGTCTTTCTTTACCATTGTTGATTTCAAGTCAATTGTCAATGATAGGAGAATGGCTACACCTGCTGTCTTTTGGTTTCTGTTTGCCTGGAAATTTTTTTTTCATCCCTTCACTTTGAGTCTGTGTGAGTCCCTGTGGGTTAGATGTATTTCCTGGAGGCAGCAGATACTAGATTGTATTTTTCATTTATTCAGCCAGCCTATGTCTGTTGAGTGGGACATTCAGATCAATAACATTGAGTAAAAGAATTGATATGTGGGATGCTGTTCTATTTGTCTTGTCAGGTAGTACCTTATTGCTTTGCTTTTCCATCTGGTTTTATTATAATTTTTTTTTT